TTGCGTTATGCGGGCCTCTCACTGTTGTGGCCTCTCCCATTTGCGGAGCACAGGCTCCGGACGCGCAGGCTCAGTGGCCATGGCTCACGGGCGCAGCCGCTCCGCGGCATGTGGGATCTTCCCGAAACGGGGCACGAACCCGCGTCTCCTGCATCGGCAGGCGTACTCTCAAGCACTGCGCCACCAGGGAAGCCCCTTAAGACCTATTTTTAAACATAGGTTCTTTCCCCAAACCTTCCCAAATCAGCAGTGGTTTTGATTTCTTTTTAACAGTGAAAGTTGTCTTCTTCTAAAGCCAATCTTATATGAAGTCTGGATATGTAAAGGTGACAGCAGTACTTATGGCGATAAATGGATCAGTTCAACAGCGTAACGTTTACCTATGATAAAGTCAATCAGTGAGGAGAAAAATGGGGCTGTTTGGGTGAGCCCGACAAAGTAAAAGGTGGAATTATAGACCATAGTGACAGTCTTATGTCAGCTTCAGTACCCAGCTTATTCCTATACTTTGTTTTGGTTTTACTGAGAAAACTCTGATTCATCCTGATAAATAACTGCAAATCGTACCTCCCCTCATAGCGGCTCAGTTACAACCTGAGGAACCTAGCGTTCCTTGGAACACAGCTTGAAAACCACTGCAGCACCTTAGCCTGCTTATACGCTTCTCTTATCTACTGTGCTACCATCAGGCACCCGGGGGCAGAATCAGCCCTCTGGTTGGTCTGAATTTTCCCAGGACTGAGTTAGTTCCCTGGAAGCACTTACGAAATGCCAAATAGATGGAAAATTGACCAAAGGACCCCCGGGCCATCAGTGGAATTTCGGAAGGAATTCAGACCTACCGGACTCCCGCGGTCTGACGTGGAGGTCTAGCCCAGCCACTTGATTTAATGCTGCATCTTTACATTTGTTTACATTTCTCTTAACTGCAAATGGCGCCTGTGTGTGCATACATTTTGTTAGACTTCAACAAAACCTTTTACAATTTGCTTATATTTCGTGGTAGTAAATGATAAAATAAACTAGCATCTACATATATTTTATGCATTCATGGTATACCTTTTTCTTAATTTCTTTGATTTGTCTAGGCTACTTGGTTTGTCTGCAAGGTTTTACAAATTGTTGTAAATCTCAAAAAATTTTTCTGATGTATGTATTGAAAAAAATCTATGCGGAACTCAGCCGAGAGAGAAGGAATGGGAATCAAGGATGCCAGGATTGTGGCAGAAAAGATCATTTAAACAACCCCTGCCCCACTGCCGTCACCTCCAATAAAACTCTCAGCTTTCAGATCCCTTCCTCAGACCCCTGCTGGTCTGGTCCTGAGAGAGGGAAGGGGACAAGACTGGAGGCTGGGCCTTTGGCCTCGAGGCGGGAGGAGGCCAAAGACCTGGCTGCCTGGGCAAGCTTGTCTCCAGAGCTGCCCTTTGCCTACGCCCTGTTCCTGGATTCTAAGCCCACTCCCGCACCCACCTCTGCGCCAGCCAAGGGGCACAAAGACCAGCCAGCGGGTGGGGAGAAGCATACTTACTTTGCAGGGGAACCTCCCTCCGTCTTCATCCACCTGCGGAGAGAATGACGGCACAGCGTAAACCACCATTTCTCCCTCAGAGCCCAGCCCCGGCTGTGCCTGGACCCCTGCGGGAAGGCAGAGCCCCTGTGCCAGGGGGGCGGGAACCTCCAAAGATCATGCAGCAGGGCATTCACAGCGGAGAGAGCACTGCGGCCTGCCTCCCAAGGAGCCTTCCCCAACGTGGAGATGAAAAGCAGCTTCAGGGTCAGAGGGGTAGAAGCAGGCGTGTGGGTCCCTGGGAGGGGCTTCAAACTGGTGGCGGGAAAAACTCATAAAGATGCCAACACAGCTACTCATGGTCCCACAGGCACAGGCAGATCTTCAAATTGAGCCAAGAATGCACACACACACACACACACACACACACACACACACACACACACACACAGGAGTGCATACACACACACGTACATGCATACACACAGACTTCAGTGTTCGCAAGATGGCTGGGAAGGCAAGTATCTACAAGAGACTTACTTCCTCTCCTGTGGATCCAGGTCACAGAAGGTGATGGTGTTGAGGGGGTAGTGGCGTCTGAAGAAGAGCCTGTGACACACACATCAGATACACAGAGAATGAGTGCTGAAGTGACCCCTCCTTCAGGTCAGGCCACCACCTGTGGCTGTCACAGGTCGACACAGCCTTTCCCTTCTGAGCATCATGGCCTGGGCTGCTCCCTTTGGGGACATAAAGCCATGCATAGGGACAGAGAGATGTCTCATAGAAACATGTCTCAAATGCTAGAGGCTAGGAAAAGAAGGAAGAAACTGGCATTGAGGAATGAGAAACGGTGGAACTCTGGAGGAGGAAGAAAAGGGGCTGGGGAGAGAGCGTGAGAGGAAGGGCCTCTGCTCTGGAAAGCAGGGACTTTTATCACTTGCATTTACAGCTGTATAACAAATGCAGGCATATTTGTGGAAGGAAGGATGGATGGATGGATGGATGACGGATAGAGGGAGACAAATTAGTGAAGGGATAAATGGGTGGGCGAAGATAAATGGGGGATGAATGGATGCGGGAATGGACAGATCAATTGGTGAGTGGGTGAGAAAGTGGATGGATGGATGGGTCACAGGGTTGGGGGGAGCCCAACACAGAAGCAATTAGAAGAATCTTATTGGGCTTCCCTGGTGGCGCAGTGGTTAAAAATCCGCCTGCCAATGCAGGGGACACGGGTTCAATCCCTGGTCCGGGAAGATCCCACATGCCGCGGATCAACTAAACCCGTGCACCACAACTACTGAGCCTGCGCTCTAGAGCCCGCGAGCCACAGCTACTGAGCCCGCGAGCCACAACTACTGAGCTTGCGTGCCACAACCACTGAAGCCTGCACGCCTAGAACCTGTGCTCAGCAACAAGAGAAGGCACCACAATGAGAAGCCCGTGCACTGCAACGAAGAGTAGCCCCCGCTCACCACAACTAAAAAGAAAAGCCTGCGCTCAGCAACAAAGACCCAAAGCAGCCCAAAATAAATTAATAAATTAATAAAAAACAAAACCAAACAAACAAAAAAACACCATCTTTGAAAAAAAAAAAAAAAGAATCTTACTTTCTCTGGTTGTCAGTCAGTGTGATTCCCTGGGCAGAAACTTTGAAGTGGACGATGGTGGCAGCTGGTGTGGGGTCAGTAGCCAGTGTCTCAGAAGTGGCTTTGGAGATGGCCTGTGGCCCAGTGAGTGACTCCATGTCCACAGAGTTGATGAAGAGCACGTTGCAGGCTGGAAGAAACCCACCCAAGGAGGTGTCACGGGGGCCGAAGTGGGTGGGAACCATCCCCAGGTCCTCTCTTCAGGAAGAAGAGAGCAGATGAATTTCAGGCCAGCCTTGGGCCGAGGCATCTGCACACAGAAATGTGGTCTGCCCAGAGACATCTGGGTCTGGGAGAGATATGCAGCCTGCACCTGCAGGAGGGTACAGGGCCAGGGGGAGGAAAGGCCTGGGCAGGGATCCCGTCTGGGGTGGCCACTCACCTGCCCCTTGCTTCAGCAGGTCACTGGTTGAGTTGGCAGGGCCCGAGCTATCTTTTGATTCATCTGTGGGGTCTGAGACAAAAATTTAATTCAGCTGGTAATTAAAACTCCAGAGCTGGAAAGAAGCACAAGGTTGGCTGGGCCTCAGGTTAGCTCTGCAAATACTTTGTGCAACGGATACTGCTTCTCATAATAAGCCCTGGCAGTCAGCACGTGTGTCCAGTTTGAATGTCCAGTGATTGCTCTAAGTATTCAGCACACTGGTTGGGAGCTGTGGAGTCCAACAGAGCAGGGCTCAGATGCTCACCCAGTCACTTGCCAAGTATGTATAAAACAGAGGTGATGATGAGAGTGCCCACTTCCCTGGGTTTTTGAGATGTTCCGTGTACAGTGTTAGTCTAGTCGTTGACATAAAGCAAGCCTTCAAGTGGCAACTGGTATGGTTGTTTTGCATGGACGTATCTTATGTGTAGATCAGTAAATGCCCTAATTCACTAAACCACAATGCAGCACAACTACAATTTCAATATTAATAAGAACTGAGTATTGTTTATACCAGCATTTCTCAGATGTTGGTGTGCAGGCTTGGTAAAAGACAGATTTCTGGGCACCACCCTAAAGCTTCTGATTAGGTGGGGCTTGAGAATATCTACATTTTGAACAAGTTCCCAGGGGTGCTGATGCTGCTGGTCTGGGGACCATACTGTGAGAACCACTGGTTTATACAATGTAAATAAAGAGCAGTTTTATAATTATTAAATTACTTTGCTAAATTCCTTAGAAATATAATTTAATTAGTGTCTAAATCATGTGGTTAATAGGGTTATTTAAATAGTATTTGAACTTTTAAGTTGATAATAGTGGTCAATTATCATTAATAATTCAATGAATCGAATTGGATACATAGATATTGCCAAATAATATTGGAGGTTTTAATTATGGACATAACCCCAGGACCTCCAAGAGAGACTGAAAGCAAGTCCCGGACACAATTCCGAATATCCTATTATTGGACAGAGAGCATGGGGAGAAGGCACCCCAGTTACCGGTTCCTAGACCTCAAGTTCAGGGCCAGGCATATTCCCCTCCCCTCGCGGGAGCCCTGTGTATCTGGGGCTGCATAATGGAAGCCTGTGCTGTTGAAAGGTTTGGGGTGTCCATCCGCCTTCCTCCGAGGCTGGGACACCTCTCTAAGAGGAGCTAAAATCTCTTTTGCCAGCCCCAGTGTCTCACTCAAATTCTCGCCCTATGCGTCCCAAAGCTCTTGAGTTCCATTTGTACCTCCCACAATCAAACAAGGGCTTGCTCCGCCCATTAGCTCGATGTCCCCTCGGCGAGGGAACACCCTCTCAGCCATGCAGACTAGAAACTCCAGGGACATCTTGGGCTTCCTGTCTCCTTCCCACGCCATGTGGATCCCTAAGAGGTCCCTCGAGTGTGCTCTCTCCTCTCCATTCAGACCGCCCTCCCACACCTGGATGCCCCATGACCTACCTCTGCCTTCCCCTCCCCGCTTCCTCGGCCCTGCCCACTGATGCCCATCTCACCCTCCAGACACGGTCCTCCCCATGGCTGTCTCCTGCTTCTATTTCCTCCCCTGGGATGAGTCGTAATTCTCAGGATTCAAGTATGAATTCTTAAAGCCTCCAGAGAATTTTCTCTGGAACAATCTGGCAAGTCAATTATGTGTGTTTCTGGAATTAAGATTTTTAATGAACTTTCCCTTCTTTTTTATTAGAAAAAATAAAGAGGAGAGTGGTTTTGAGTTTCCCAAGATTGGCAACATGACCCGTTTCCTCCAAGCCTGGCGCATGTTCTGGAGCAGCTGGCTGGGCAGAGACGTGAAGGAGGCCAGCACAAGGGTGCGCTTGGAGGCCGAGGAGTCTCAGGTTCCTACCTCGGTTTGGAATGACCAGCTTACAGGGCAGAGCCAGCGGGATGATGGAGTGCTGGTAGACCAGGGCAGACAGAGATCCTGCAGGGAGGGAGACAGCCGGCAGAGGCAGCGTTACTGGGAGCACGTCAGGGGCACTGAGGAAGCACACCCACCCCACCCCACCGTCCATAATCTTTAGCTTCTTTCTTACCTCTCCCTCATCCCACCCACAAAGCTGAAAATTCACTCCCTCTTTGACAGCAAGATCCAAGGGAGAAGATTCTAAAGGCTCACTCTAGCCATCAGACGGTTACCCCACAACTTTTCTTTCTTTTTTTTTTTTTTTTTTTTTTTTGCGGTACGCGGGCCTCTCACTGCTGCGGCCTCTCCCGTTGCGGAGCACAGACTCCGGACGCGCAGGCTCAGCGGGCATGGCTCACGGGCCCAGCCGCTCCGCGGCACGGGGGATCTTCCCGGAGGGCACGAACCCGCATCCCCTGCATCGGCAGGTGGACTCTCAACCACTGCGCCACCAGGGAAGCCCCCCACAACTTTTCTTTCTTTTTTTTTTTTTTTGCGGTACGCGGGCCTCTCACTGCTGCGGCCTCTCCCGTTGCGGAGCACAGACTCCGGACGCGCAGGCTCAGCGGGCATGGCTCACGGGCCCAGCCGCTCCGCGGCACGGGGGATCTTCCCGGAGGGCACGAACCCGCATCCCCTGCATCGGCAGGTGGACTCTCAACCACTGCGCCACCAGGGAAGCCCCCCACAACTTTTCTTTCTTTTTTTTTTTTTTTGCGGTACGCGGGCCTCTCACTGCTGCGGCCTCTCCCGTTGCGGAGCACAGACTCCGGACGCGCAGGCTCAGCGGGCATGGCTCACGGGCCCAGCCGCTCCGCGGCACGGGGGATCTTCCCGGAGGGCACGAACCCGCATCCCCTGCATCGGCAGGTGGACTCTCAACCACTGCGCCACCAGGGAAGCCCCCCACAACTTTTCTTTCTTTTTTTTTTTTTTTGCGGTACGCGGGCCTCTCACTGCTGCGGCCTCTCCCGTTGCGGAGCACAGACTCCGGACGCGCAGGCTCAGCGGGCATGGCTCACGGGCCCAGCCGCTCCGCGGCACGGGGGATCTTCCCGGAGGGCACGAACCCGCATCCCCTGCATCGGCAGGTGGACTCTCAACCACTGCGCCACCAGGGAAGCCCCCCACAACTTTTCTTCATCGAAAGTTACTCTCAGCATCTCTCCTAAGTCCCTCCAGCTGCCAGGGCTCCACTCAGGAGAGTGCAGCAGAAGTGTCAGAGGATGATGGGATCAAATCCCCACTCAGTAACTTATTAGCTGTGTGTCCCTGGATAAATCTCAGTTCCCTCGTGTGTAAAATGGGATGATGACACCTACCACGCAGGATGGTCGGGAGACCAGAAGTGATATAAGGTACCTAAGGTGGCTTTCACGTAGTAGGTAGTGGATAAAGGCAACTGTTGTTATAGTTGTTATTCCAGTGTTAATGATAACAAGTCTCCGTGGGGTAGGACAAATACAGAAAGGAATCTGGCAGAGTGAAGGCGCCACAGCACAGAGGAAGGGAGTCGCCGTGCATTTCTCTGCTGCGTCTATGACAAGGGTGACGGGCAGAAGCTGCAGCGGGGAACCTGGGACAGGCCTGAGACCGTGGGGACGGAGGCGGGGACAGCTCACCGAAGTTTGGCTCATTGGGACAGCCCTTGAGCTTGACTCCTCTGGGGCTCGTCTCTATCAGGAAATGCCTCACGAGCTCATGGGTCATGTCCCCTGGGATGAAGAGAAAGAAACGTGGATGTGTCACTGCCCATGGTGTCCTTCCGCCACCTCCCAGCACTATTTCCAACTTCTCCAGTGTACTGGGCTGTGATGGAGAAAGGGTCACAGCGATAACACGGCCAGAGCCCTGGGATGGAGAGACCACCACTGCTAGCCCACCCCTCAAGGAAACTCAGTCACAGGGCCCCGGTCATCTTGCTTCCCTGTTCTCTGACCTCAATCATCACCAAGCCCAAGACCTGCTCTTCTGAAGAGTCTGATTAGAAGGAACCAGCTCCCATGAGAATTAAGAGACCTGCCCATCGCACATACCCACCCCTCGTCCTCTGGCAGCTCAGGACCTAAAGAGACTGTAGGGACCACCTAGTCCTGAGGCCCCAGTGGACAAGCTGGTGTTACCTTTTTTATTCTGCTGCATGATGGTCGGAGGGGGCGAAGACACCTTCATGGCCAGCCCATAGGCTCCTCGGAAGGAGTGGCTGTCTCGGATGATGAAAGCCCCTGGCTCCTGGTCCTTAAGGAGGGCTATGGCTGAATCGGGAGGAGAGAAGGGGAAATGAGAAATTGATGCACTGGCTTAAGTCTCATCAGGTCTTGAACCTCTTTCTTTCTCAGGTGAGATGAGAGTCCTTAAAGTTAAAATGTAAACACTCCTAAGGGTCCTCCTACACTAGAGTCAGCAAAGTTTTTCTATAAATAGCCAGACAGTAAATATTTCAGGCGTTGCAGGCCATGCAGTGTCGGCTACAACTACTCATCGCTGCCATCACGGCACAAAAGCAGCCCATGCAGTGAGTAAACGAATAGATGGGGTTGTTCCAAGAAAACCGTCCGGATCTCACCCCTGGCTGGAAGTCACCCTGCCCTACGTCCACACAGACTTCCCTTAGGGGTTGAGGCCTCTCATCTCCATCCCCACAATCCCAACTATGTTTTTTTCTGTAAAATGGGCAAAAATCTCCCACATCATGCAGATGGAGAGCTAAGGTTTCATAGTATCTTGGCCAGCCTTTCATTTTGTCCTGGAAAACCAAGACTTTGCTGCTTTTAAGGAAACAGCTACAACCACTGCTTCTGCTCCCCAACGTTTCACTGTGGGGAGGTGCCTCTTACTGTCCAAGCTTGGTCCCAGCTCCTCTCTGTGACTACCACCTACTGCAAAGAGGAATGAGTCTGTTTATGTCCCTTGCCCAGGGAAGACAAGGTGGGCAGCCGCCAGCTGTGACCTCAGATGGACCCCAGGACCTTCAGCGCCACCCAGCACTTACCCTGCTCTCTGGAGATCTCGGGCTTGTACCAATACTTGGAAGTGTCCTGGACAAATTTCACTTTCGCCCGCGTCTCAGGGCTGTTGTCTAAAGGGAGAAGGAGAGGGAAAGAAGGTGTTATGAGTCTCCATCTCTGTCCCCCAAAAAGGTATGTTGGAATTAACCCCCAGTACCTGTGAATGGGATCTTATTTGGAAATAGCGTCTTTGCAGATGTAAACAAGATAAGATGCAGTCGTGCTGGATTAGAGTGGACCCCAATCCAATATGACTGGCGTCCTTATAGAAAGAAGGAAAGGGACAGGGAGACACAAGGGGAGAGTGTCATGTGAAGATGGAGGCAGAGATTGGGGAGATGCATCTACAAGCCAAGGGACCCCAAGACTGCCAGCCACCATGAGAAGCTAAGACAAAAGCCTAGAAAACAGTCTCCCTCAGAGTCTCCAGAAGGAACCAATCCTGCCAATACCTTGATTTGGGATTTCCAGCCACAGCTACTGTGAGAGAATAAATTTCTGTTGTCTTAAGCCACCTGTGGTCCTTTGTTATGGCTGACCTAGGAAACTAACACAGAAAGCTAGTCTGCTCAAACATCATCAGAGCATTGCTGGAAGGGGCCTTGAGCTGCTTTCACATCCTCCCCCTGTCTTCCAACAACCACCGTGCACGGAGCTGCCCTCCTGTGGAAGAGACTGAACAGCATCCTCACCAAGCCAGCGAGAGCCCTACGCCATCCCATCTCCCCCTTTCTCTAGAAGATTCAGACTAAACCCTTCCCGAAGTTTCCCTCCCACCTTCTAATCCCTTTCTCCATGGGCTCAATTTCCCAACTCTATCATAACAACCTTGAGGATGAGAGGAGAAAAACACATTTCTGTCCACTTTCCCCAAGCTCCGCCTCACTTCCCATATGGAAAGCCCGGGTTCTGCCTCAGGTAGAGCAAAAAGATTGCTCCTGCCCTGCCTGGGACAAATAGGAGAAGGGTTAGCCTAGAATTAAGAGGTCATCTACTGAGTGTCCCAGACCCCACTTCTCTGGCAGACATCGTCACCCCAGACCCTTTGCAGACTAGGGATGCTTTCATAGAATGCTAGGTTCTGGAGGAGCTCAGAGAGCACCTTATCCAACCTATTATTTTACAAGTGAGGAATGTGAGGTTCAGAGAGGGAGAGCAACTTTCCCAAGTCACACAGATGGTCCACAGTAAGGCTTTTGTAAGACCTTCCCAGGTAAGAAGATGCAGCAACCAGTTTGGTGCCAGCTACACCATATCTCCCTGGCTGGGTATTAGGACATGTGGGTCTCACTCTCCAACCTCTTCCTTCATCTTTTGGCACCAAAGAAAACAAAGGGAGGATGGGGGAGAAGGGTAAAAAAGAATATTCCAAATCTGCATGTTTCCACTCCTTTCGTCAGTGAGAGGCTGGAACAGAGGAGCCTGTGCTCACGGTGCTGTAAAGTTCAGGGCACAGACCAGAGATGCGGGTTGGGCTGTGTGTCTGGTGCTTAGTCAGTTTCAACTTGCCATTTACACTCTGCTAGGCTTCTGGGATCTGTTTCTGGAGGACAGAGATGGGGTAGGTCAGCTCCTTTTCCTGGCAGCTGTGCACTTAGCAGGGCCTCTGGGCTAGGCAGCTGGGCTGTACAACTGTGCAAGCTGCCTCTCTCGGCTCCAAAGCCCCAGGCCCTGGGGCTGCTGGGGCCTGTCTAATGAGCTGTCAGAGGTGGCTACAGCCCCATGTGCCTTCCTATGTTGACTCCCATGTCTATTTTAAGCAAGGAAGATGGTGGGAAACAGGAAATGTCCCAACTACTAGAAGTTCTGCATCCTCCAAGAACTGGGGCTGGGAACCAGATGTCTCTGGCGAGCAGCAGGAAGCAGGGGTGTGCAGTGTCGTTTGGCAGGCTCAGGGCAGGACCTGGGAGTGATACTGAGAATCTGGGCAGCTGGGGCCCATCCCAGGCTGCCTGCAGCATTCTAAATCTTCCTTGAATGCCCCAGGGCTCCAGGGCTGCTCTGCGCATAGTCAGGTTCGAGATCTGGCTGAGAAGCTGCAGATCAGCTGACACCCTGACCTTTTTGTTTAGAAAATGAGCCCTCTAAGTGGAGGCAAAAGATGCCCAGTTCTGACGATGAGAGAAGAATTCAGTGTGCAAAACTGTGTGGGCTTCAGTGAAGCCGGGTTGGTAGAAACTAGACTCCAGTAAAAATGCTTAACCCTCGGCCTTGTGCCATACCGCTCCGGCTGCCAGATCTATTATTAGTGATGTGCGCAAAGTGGGGATCAAAAGGTGGGAACCGTGCTGTGGGCTGGAAAAGTAATGTGCAAATTGGGCAAAATCATACCCACTTTGTGAGGACTGATGAGATAGTCCTTGGCTCAGAGCCTGGCACAGAGCATGTGCTCAACAAGTGGTGGTGGCTACGATGATGGTGAAGATCATTGTAACAGCAGTGCCATCATCGCATCTACCTCCTCATCCCTGCCCCCACTGCTGCCACGACCACAGCTCCAACTCGCATTACACAGGTAAGGAGTCTGAGGCCCGGAAGTCAGTGATCCACCCAAGGTTCTCTGCCAAGGAGATGTCAGAACAGAGACTAGCACAGATACTCTAACTGGTGGGCTTCATCTGTCAGCCGGAGAGATGACATGGAAGGAGGGCTCACCTGGCATGGAGTACTTGGAGAAGTCGGGCAGAGTGTGGGAGAAGGAGACGGCGCTGCCCCCGCTGGGACTGGACATGCCGCTGGCGACAGGCGAGGAGGACACCTTCCCGTTGACAGTGGCATAGTTGGGGAGGCTGCCCGCTCGGTCTCCCATGGACATCCTCCGCTTCTCTGGCAAGGCCGGTGTCGGGCTCCCTTGCCGGAAGGCTGCTGAATCTGGCGAGGGGGAGGTGGCGGGGTTGCTCAGGCCGGGGTAGTAGGCAGGGGACACAGGAAAGGAGGGCGTGGAAGGGGCCTGGTAGCCCGAGGCGCTGCTCTGTCGGGACAACGTGGGTCTCCGGTCCTCAGGGGTGGAGTAGCCACCATAGGCCGCCTGCTGGTCCAAGCTGGGGCTGCCGGAAACCACAGATCCAGACCCTCCCAAGTGACGGCTCAGGCTGGGGCTTCCGGGGCTGGCTACTGCGTTGCCATGGAGACTGGAGGCCAGGTTGTCTTGGTGGGCCCCAGGGTGCCGGCCCAGGCTGGGGCTCCCTGGAGTGGTGGCCACATTGCCATGGAGGCTTGAAACCTGGTGGGCCCCAGGGTGCCGACCCAGGCTGGGGCTTCCCGGAGTGGTTGCTGCACTGCTCTGGGGGCTGGAGACCGTGTTACCATGGAAACCAGTTCCGGGTGGACCCATCACCTGGCGTTGGCTCAAACTGGGGCTGCTGGGGGCAGCCATGCTGGGATTCACGGCCCGGCGGACAAAGCCAGGACTAGAGGGAGTGTTGGTGCCCACTGTCCTGTGCCGTGCCTGAGGGCTCCCAGGCACCATGTGGACACCCGCCACACTGAACTGAGACCGGGCCTGGCTTTCCGGGGAGCTGAACTGCTGAAGTGAGTAGTCGGGGCTGCTGTAGATGCTGCCTGCAGTCAGGAGGGGAGAAGAGCTCTGGTAGCTTCTCTGAGCCGAAGGGCTGGGCTGGCCCAGGCTGCCGGAGCGGAAGCCAGAATCCAGCAGAGGCTGGGTGGGTGTCCGCGGGCCCTGGTCGCTGCTCTCCCCTGATGGGAAACTCCCCACTGAAGTGCTAGAGAGAGACGGGGCAGGTCAAGATGTCACCAAATGGCATTTAGTGAAGGACAGGCTTTCAGTGAACCCTCAGCCCTCCCTCCAACCACTAACAATGACAATAAAAGCTCCCCTCACATGCACAGGAAAGTTAGGGCTTTTATACGTCACCCTACGAACATCAGAAGACAAAACTGAGGCTCAGAGAGGTTAAGCAATAGGCTCACACCCACACAGCTCACAGAAGACCAGGATTTCAACTCAGCTGTGTCTAATTCCAGAGCCCATGTATCCTCAAGCACCACCCTCACTGCTCGACCACAAGTCAGAGCGAGAGCTCTCCTATCGAAATTGAAGGTGGCTTTCCTGTTGCCCCCTCCAGCATCACAGAAACTGAACACTGGAGAGGGGGTTAAACCACTTGGATCCTGTTCCTACTGGAAGTATCCTCACCTTGACTCAGTTTCCCCAGGTGTGCTATCAGCATCTTTAAACACTGAGAGTGTAACTGGGCATCCATTCCTGGGTAGCTCCAAAACAGTAAAGACAAAGAAATCTCACAGGAGATTTCAGCTCATTATAAGATCTGCATTCTAGCCATTGGATCTGGCCACCAATGGAGCAGGCTGCTTTACGTGGTAATGAGGCTCCCATCATTAGGAGCATTTAAGCAGACACTGACCAACCTCTTGACCCGAATGCTGTGGAGGAAATTTCCTCCATTGGGAGGTTAGATGAGATGAGCTCAGAGGTCGCTCTCAATTCTAAGACTGATAAAATTCAGTTCAGAGGGCACTGTACCTGGGGGAATGGCCACAGTCAAAGGTTCTCCTCTGAAGTTAAGTATTGATACAAGTCCATGGCCTGTGAGTTGGGAAACCTGGATTCTGCTTGTTGAAAGTTTTCCCACGTGTAAAATGAGGGAAATAGGTTAGATGACTCTGATTCCTTCCAGACCCAAACTTCTATTCCTCGATGATATGGCAGGAGAGACAAAGGCTGACAGAGACCACGCATAAGCAGCAGCTGCAGGGAAGTAGCAGGCAAATTCTGCACCAGCAGCCCCTGGGGCAGAGGGGTGGGGAAGGTCCTTACATAAGACGATGCTCCAAAGCCTGGAGCCGCAGACTGGAAGGAGTCTGGAGGCTGGCCGGCCACACCCTGGGCCAGGTTGGATAAGCTCAGGTCCCCTGGGTGATGTGAGGTGGGAGGGCTAGGCACGAGCCAAGGGCAGGGAGAAGGGCAGGGGCCAGGCCAGGACAAAGTCTACCTCGCATCCCAGAAGGGGCCAAAGTGGAACACCACTTCGGTACAGAATAACCTGGATTCTGAGGAATGGGGGGGATAGGTCAGGCTGCACAGCGGGGGCTGGGGACATGGAAATGGAGCTCTGGATGATTAATCCCGGAGAAGAAGCTGGCTTCCTGAGGCCTACTGCAGGAGGAATTTGAGGAGTGAGAAACGGTGAAAACTTCCTAATGTCAGCACTCCCTGAATATCAGCAAGGGTGGCTGGAGAGGTGAGGAAAATCTCCTTTCCTCTAAAAGAAGAATGCAGGGTCTGCCCAGAGGCAGACCTTTCCAAAAATGGAGCCATCAGGAGGCTGGGGAGTGCGTAAGGTGGACTGGGGTGTGTGTGCTCGGCTTGAGGTTTCAAATTCTTAGACTCCAGAAGAAAACTGCCTCTGCTCACCCACGCCCCCCGCCCCGACCCAGGAGGGGTGCATTACCCTGGACCAGTGCAGGTACACCGCAAGCTTGGCACACCCCTCCACATGCAGAATTGTGAAGAGGTGGCTGGACAGTTACCGGGCCCTGTGAGGTCCCGGGCTGGGAAAGGGCAGTGGACATGGGAAGGGATGGTAGGGGCAGGCTCCCCTCCTGGAGGCGAGTTCCGGCCTCCAGGCAGGCTCTCTGGGGCCCCCTCCCCGCCTGGCACCCTTTGCCCTGCCTAGGCTCCTCTCAGGGTCCCTCTCCTATGTTGTCTTCCCTGTCTCCCCATCATAAAGCCTCACCACCACCCCCAATCAAGCAGCTTCTCACTGCACCCCAAACACAGGAGCCTCACTCTCCGGGAAATTTCAGGCTACCCTTTCTGTCTGACCCCCCTCAGAACGCCAGCCAGCCATCCGCCAAGACATCCCTCCTCTAACCCTACAGAGACCCCTCACCAGCAGCTGCGTGCCCAAGGCCGCCACGCCCAACACCTCCACACCCCCCGGCTCTGTCCTTGCTGAGCTGTCCTTCTGGAAGGGCCGTTCCCTCCCCCTTCACCTTTCAACCCCTGCTCATCCTTCTGGCCTCAGCACAAATACTTTCAGCCCCCAGAGACCCTCTCTGCATCCCAAGCCAGAAATAGCGGCCTCTTGCTCTGAGCCCTTGGCTTACACCATCTGCTCTGGGCACATCTGACTCTCACCCCGTGACCGTCAGGCACCATAACGCAGGTCTCTGGGGAAGGATAGAGATGTGGGTTCCGGAGCCAGACACCTTCGGTTTGAATCCTATTTTTGTTATTATTTAGCTGTAGGACCTTGAATAAGCTACTTTATGTCTCTCTGCCTCAGTTTCCTCTTCTGAGAAGTGTGAATAATAATAGTACCTACCTCATAGGATTGCTGTGAGGTTTAAACAGAAAGCACTTAGCAAAATGCCTGGCACATAGGAAGCACTCAACACATAGTAATTACTCGTGTTCAATTTTAAACGTGGGGGAAGGGGACTTCCCTGGCAGTCCAGTGGTTAAGACTCCACACTTCCACTGCATGGGGCACGGGGTCCATCCCTGGTTGGGAAGTAAGATCCCGCATGCCGCGTGATGTGGCCAAAAAATAAAAATAAAAAATTTTTTTAAATTGAAAAAAAGTGCTTCCCTGGTGGCGCAGTGGTTAAGAGTCCGCCTGCCAACGCAGGGGACACGGGTTCAAGCCCTGGTCCGGGAAGACCCCACATGTCGCGGAGCAACTAAGCCCTTGCGCCACAACTACTGAGCCTGCGCTCTAGAGTCCGTGAGCCACAACTACTGAGCCTGCGCTCTACAGCCCATGAGCCACAACTACCGAAGCCCGCGTGCCTAGGGCCCGTGCTCAGCAACAAGAGAAGCCAGCAAAATGAGAAGCCCACGCACCGCAACGAAGAGTAGCCCCTGCTCACCACAACTAGAGAAAGCCTGCACGTAGCAACGAAGACCCCAACACAGCCAAAAATAAATAAATGAAATAAATAAATTTATTTTTAAAAAACTTAAAAAAATAAATAAATAAACCTGGGGTAAGGACTATGCCTGGTTCACCTTCATACTCTCCCTGGGGAGTTGGCACTCAGGGGATGCTCTCACCATGCACCCCGATGAGCTAGTTTCCCAGGAGCAGCAACCTGGATGTGATTTCTGCCTGTCCACGCGCTAGACAGATCCAAGAGGCCTCATCTGTGCTGTCCCAGGCCTGGATCTTCCTCCCCACTTACCTGTCAGCGCTGAGGATGGGGCTGCTGGTGGAAAGGGGGCTGGGGGAGACAAAGGAGCCTCCCAGGGTCCCGTTCCTCAGGGGTGTCTCGCGGCCATAGGCCTGGGCAACCGGGGCGCTAAAGCTCTTGGGCTCAGGATCCTGAGTCCGGGGCCCAGCCACTGCCGTCCGCACCACCGACTCCACATAGCTCCGGGGCTCTGGAAGGGGCAAGGGGACAGGGACTGAGTCTGGATCCACAGGGGTGCAGTGCGGACCCCACCCAACCTCCAGGGAGCCCCCTTCCCCAGGGCCTATGGGGACAACCCCAAAAGGACAGCCAAGCAGGCAAAGGGCAATTCTCCAGGGCTTCTGCCTTCCCAGGCCCACCCTCTTCCCAGCATCTTGGAGAAGCTGTGAGAGTCCCCAAGGAACCTTTAACCGGGGCCTCGTTCTGAGAATCTTCCCAGAAATGGACCCCAAAACACAGCCATCACAGAATCCTCCCTCCTAGAGCCAGGATGCCCATCCTTCACTGGTATCTCCTCTAGCTGCTGCTTTTCTATGACCTGCTACCCAGGCCCCCAGGCCCTTCTAGGCTCCCCAGGCACCGCTGGAGTCTGAGCTCTTCGTGGACCCCAAGCTCCAGCCCAGTCGTGCATCTCGGGACAGCGCCAGGGCTCATGCTGGCTCCTCCCCACACCCAGAATCCAGAAACAGGCTTGCTGGCCTAGCAACAGGCCTGTGCGGGTGAGTTACGCCCAGCCCCGGCATGCCAAGACACACCCACCCACCTTGCCTGACACACTTAGCATTCCTCCCGAGACTGACATCATTATCCCGCTTGGTGTTCAGAATGGCCTGAGAGGAAGGCTAGGCGGGGGAGGGGGGAGGAGCAAGGGCCAGAAAAGTCATTTTGCAGATGCGGACGCTGAGGCCTGGAGAGTGAAGTGGCTGGAGGCACAACCAGGACTCAGGTCTCCCGGGCCACCCCCCCCACCCAGTGCTGTGCGCCCCTCCCAACCCCCGATCCCGGCCTCTGAAGCCAGCCCCCAGACTAACTTGTTATCAAACAGGAAGAAGCAGCAGGGCACTCTGGGCTTCTCCAGGGACAGGATCAGGGATAGATGACGTTCCTACCACCTCCAAACCTGGCACCGTCCCTGAGGACGTCCCAGGGGGAACATGATCTGAGCACACACCTACACTCTGCCCACAATTAGGGCATCCGCTGAAACCAGCCTCAGAAATGGAAGAACTGCAGAGTCTGTGCAGCCCTGGGGGCGGGGGCGGGGGGCAGGCCCCTGGAGCCTCTGCAGCCGGACTGTGCTGGCCACTGAGTCAGAGAATAGCCCCCTCCCCTCAGCCCAAAGAAAACTTTACTTTAGAAGGAGCCCAATCACCAAGGCGTTATGGGGCCATTACAGACCCTGGTCTCTGAGGTGACTTCCAGGCCTGATATCCTGCATCCAGGCCCAGAGGCCTGGAGACCCAGGGAGAGGATGGGCCTTTAGAACAGGGCCCTTTACGGAGGAGGCCTGCGGTCTGCATACAACTCTAGCCAGAGGCCGCCAGTGTATCTTTTAGTTTCCACACAGAGTTCCCTCCAACCAACAGCAACAGTGAATGGGGCTGGGGCAAGAGGTCTGCAAAGTGACAGGCATGGGGCAGCCTATTCCGGGGACCCGGCCCAGGGTGACACAGGACCAGCCACCTTGGCACCCAGAGATAGAGTCCACGTGGACAGAGGCCAGCAAGGCGTCCTCAGAAGCCCCCTCATCCAGCCCAGGCCACCCACCCACCCCACAGAAGCCCCAGGCCACAGCCCCTCCAAAGGCAATGATGCCATGCCGTCCAAGCCTGAGGCCCTGCTGGAGCAAAGAGACGGGCAGCACACTTTTTTTGAAAAGCGCCCGACAGTAAATATTTCAGGCTTAGAGGGCCAGAGGGTCTCACAGCTGCTCAGTTCTGCTGTTGTTATCGCGCGAGCAGCCACAGACAATACATTAAGCGATGAGCATGGCTGTGTTACAATAAAACTTTCTTTACAAAAATAGATGATGGGCCGGATTTGGCCATAGACTGCTTGCTCCTGATGTAACCTGTCTGCTCAGCCCAGAGAGGTGGAGCGATTTGCCCCAGAACACACAGCCAATCAGCGGCCACGGCTACCATCTCCTGACTCTCAATGCTGTCTCTGGGTGGCCTAGAGGGGCCACAGCCTCCTGGGACACCCAGAGGTGGCTGCTACCCAGAACTCTAGCCCATCAGCCAGAGAAGACCCAGCTCCACAGGGCTATTAATAATAGTAAAAATAGCAAACAACTGTATGAGGAGAGTAGAACTTGGAAAATGCAAGTGTCTTGCCTGGGCCACACGTAGACTGTGGCAGAATTGGCCTAGGAACCCAGGCAGTCTGGCCCAGGTCCTGCTCTTGGGCCCTGCACATACCGCCAGGTGAAAATCGGGGAGCCGAGAATTTCAGTGTCCTTAGCCTTGAGGGGCTGGCTCCATGCTCTGGGGTAACTCTGACAGAAGAGACCTCAGACAGGACACCTCACGCCCACAGAAATGGCAATTGAGACCCCAGGCCAGAGCCCACCTTCCCTGCCCATCCCTCACCCCGGGGTCACTCTCTGAAAACTCCTCCTAGACACCTCCAGGCTCTCGGCTTCACGCTGGTGCCCGCAGCGCTTAGCACGCTTCTCTCCCACCCAGAGACGGCAAGGGGATCCATCTGCTCCCTGGCAGCCCCGGGCTCCTTGCTGATCTGTATTTGCAGTGCCTGGCACACAGTAAGTCCTCAATAAGTTTCTGTCCCACAAACTAGTAGATGTGTGACCTTTACCCTCCGCCCCACCCACACAGAGGTGCACAATAACTAAGACCTAAAAGGCACACATTCATTTTTCTCCTTCTCTTGAATTCTTGCTGATCCCCAAAGTTCAAGCTAAAATGCACATGGTGAGCCCTGAAGTCGGTGATCTTTTCCACCTGCCATGTCCTTCTGATCCACTCCCCCAACCTGCTCTGTGTCCCTGCAGGCCAGCTTTTACTGACCACATCCCCCAGACCCCCGGCCTCAGGGCTCCACATGGCTTTGACCTTCGGCCGCTGGCTAGTAGGAGAGACTAGGAGGGGATGGGGGGTGGTGAGGAGAGAAGGTCAAAGTGCCAGGGCTGCATCTTCCACCCAAGATCCCAGCTCCAGTCGGGGGCCCTCTCCTCCGGCTCCCTCCTGGTTCCTCCAGGCCTGGCGGGCGGATGGCTCCCACCTCCTACTATGAGGGCCACCCGGTGGCAGGGTGCTTTACCATCCCTCGTCGGTTTGCCCAGACCTTCTAAATAGTCCATTGTCTCCTCGGTTGCCCCATTGGAATGAGCCAGCTGTTTCCTGCCAAGACCTGAAGTGGGTAAGCAACTCATATTATATTCCCAACTCACATAAGCAACCCATCCTGTAAAAAAGTACACATACTGCTTTTAGCAGCAGTAGAACTGAGGTAAGGCCGCCTACACCACCTGGTGCCAGAGTCAGGCCGGAGCCAAGCCTGGGACCACAGATGCTGACTCCCATCTGCTCTGTTTGCCATCACTCAAGGCTGCATCCCCACTAACTCCTTCTGGCCCAGACATAGTGACAGGAGCCTGAGTGTAGTTTGCACAGAACATCAATGGGACTGTATGTTAGAAGGTCTGGAGATATTAGAAAACCTGAGATCCTATAGGATGGCCACATTCATAAGGCATCAGGCTCATGAGCCCCGTCCCCACTCCCATCAGATCCTAAGCTACAGAGGAGCTCTCGGAGGACTCAGCATCTGAACTTGGAGGACAGGACTGCTTACCCAGGAAGAAGCACCAGAAGCCATTCCCACCACGAAGGCTGGAAACAGCCCTATGACTTTAGGTGGCCAACTAGCCTGTGGGCTTTGCTCTGAGGCTCGCAGCTTGTGGATTTCAGGCCCGGCCCGCCTGGCTCTGCCCTCACCTTACTCTCTACCTCCATCCTCTTCCTTGGTTGGCTGACCTTCCAGGACCAAATCAGGGGTAGAGATTCACTCAATCTCTGTTCCTCATGAACCCAGAGCAGGAGGGATCTTTGGGAAGATATCTGATTTTCTAAGTCCATCTCCAGAACTGTTCAAAACCAACCTTTTGGGCCAAAACATCCATTTTCCCAAGTTTCCAGACTCAGATTTCCATATTGAAAATACCTCCCTTTTCCTGTCTGTCCCCATCCTCCCTCTCTCCTCCCTACCTCAGTACAACATACAACCTGTGGGCTCCCCCTTCTTTCACTTACTGGAGGGGTGACCTGGAGCAGGCTGCTGAACATTTCTGGGACTCAGTTTCCTCATGTGTAAAATGGGAATGAGAATACTCACCTGCCCAGCTAGGATCGAGTGACAAGAGAAGGAAAGTCCCTTCTAATTCTTTCCACTGGTTGCAACGCCAGTTTATAAGCAGCCCCACCGTTGCCCACCTGTACCGGAGCCGTGCCTGTGCCTGCCTCCCTCTACCCTCTCTCCTGCTGCTTTCCTCCTCTCTGCCGATCCCAAGCAGCTGCACCCAGAGGCAACGGGAACTGGGAAGGGCAGGAGAGGAGGGGCCAGGGAGGGTGCTTCGTGTAGAACATTCCAGGAGCCCAAACCCATTCCAAGTGGCTGTTGGAGGCTGAGAGCAGCTGGACATGAGGCTGAGTGACTTAGCCCCACCAGGCTGGGGGCACTGTCAGCTCTTCACCCACACCCTGAAGTGCATTTCCTGCCTCCCAGAAAAGGTTCTTTGCCTGGAGAGAAAGGGCCTGCCGGCTCCAAGTGAAATGAAGACATGCAGATGCGGGGTAAAGAGGAAGTAAAACCCCCCGAGGCCCAATCCAGGAGCTCAAAAGTTAGAATTCCAAACTCTGAGATCGGGCCACACAGCCCTCCTCTGAGCTCCCATCACACCCTGTTCCTCCCCCAGCTCAGCACCTCTACCTTATGCAGAGATATCTGTCTTTACCAGGCTAGCTCACTCATCTTTAAGCCCTCAGTACCTAGCACAGGACCTGGCACAGAGTAGGTGCTCAGTAAATCTGTGCTGCACAGCACTGCCCGAAAATACCCAGATGCCACAGTACACCCATCACCGAGGATCTCAGAGCAGGAAGGATCCCCAGAGGGGCCGTTTCCAGTCCACTGTCTTCCTTTGTGCCACATCCATCCCATCTAATCATCTGAACAGACAGAACCTAAGCTGAATGTTCCCTGTTCCCGTTCCTCCAGGAAAGAAGGTTCAGCAATTTCTTTCCCTGTTTCCCCACTAGGAAGATATCCTTGATATCTCGAGGATATCATGACTTTACTGTTACAGGCTTTCTTTCTCTCCTTCCTTCACGGAGAAGGGTACCCAGTAAAGACACTGTTTATGTTTAGAGGTTGTGCCCCGTGCAATCACATGGAAAGGGGCAGCCTCCACGGGCTGAGCCAGCGTAGGCTCTCAGCCGTGCCCCCAGTTGACTGTCTGGGCCTGGACAAGTCATTTACCATTCGTACATGTCATGTCCTCATCAGCAAACTGGGGTTCCTGCCACCTTCCTCACAGTGCTTCTGTGATTATTAAACAAGATGATGTGACAATGACCCACACAGTCCCACCCCTGCCTGCTGACCCTCACTCTGTACCACACTCCCCGCCCTTGCTCCAGCCTCCAGATCTCCCTTGCTCTCACTTCACTGACTTTGCAGTTCATGGAAAAAAACATGCTGTTCCTCCCACCCCAGGGCCTTTGCACATGCCCTTTACCTCTACATGGAATGCTCTTCTCCCATCCCAGTGTCACTGAGTTAATGTCACTCACCCTCCCATCTTACTTCTTCTTTTATGAGCCAGGGTCTCATAAAACTGTATCCCTTCCCTCTGGAGCACTTATCTCAATACTTAATTCTCGGTGATAATTTAATTGTGGCGCCGGTTCATGAATTTCCTCCACGAGATTAGGAATCATAGTATGCTTATCATTATATCTCCAGAGTGCCTGGCACATAGGAGGCACACAAAGTATTTGTTGAATCAACGAATGACAGAATGAATGAATGTACAGCATTTAGCACGGCACATTGAACGGAACAGACTCCCCTAAAGTCTTTTTTTCCCCTAGCTGAATAAGTCTGTCTGTCTCTGATTATTTTTCCTCACAAGCATCTTTTTCTGAATTTCCCATCAAAGTATCTGCAGGGAAATCAAGCAGTGCTTCAGAGGGTCAGCAAAGTCTGACCCGGGAGGTGATGCGTGAGTCAGGAAAAACGGAATGTCCCCTGCCTCCACCCACCTCCCTCCCCAGGGAGGGGGGATTGACAACAATTCCAGGGCATGGGATTGCTAGAATCCCAGGGCATGGCGCCTGGAGGCAGGAGGAGGGCTTTGAAACAGCCCCTTGATTAGGAGACAGGAGACCAGTAAGTCCAGTCTCGGCCCTGCTTCCTCTTAACTGTGAGCTTGGGAAGATGCCCCACCCTCACCCCACAACACAGACCTCAGCTCCACATCTGTGAAAACGATGGGTGTGGTAGAGTCGAGCCCTAAGAACCTTCCCCTGCAAACTCTGTGGCTCCAGGACAGATGGAAGTGGGTCAGAGGGCTCGGGGCCCTGTAGGCCTAGATTCACTCATAAGGTGCAAGGGTCAGGTGTCACTTCCGATCTGTTAAAGTGTCACCCCAAAGTGGGGAACACACAGCCAGGGCCTGTCACCCTCAGACCTTCCCACTGGAGAGCGTGTGGGTCCCACCAGCCTGTGGAGATCAGCAACCACGAAGGGACCCAAAAGCTCCTGTGTGGGTGTGCACCTGGAACACAGCACACGAACACTGGCTCCAGGCCCCAGCTGATTCTATACTCCTGTTGGGAACCAGCCGTCAGCCACCAGCCTGGGGGAGGTCCTCTCCCCGGGTATGAGGTTGACTGTGGGTGAGGCCCCGCTGTGGCTCTCCCCATTCTGGGATCTGTTGTTGGGGGGGCTGCCTTGTTCTGCACCCCCCCAGGCAGCCTGGCATTGTTGCCAGAACTCTGGCTGCCTAGGAGTGACCAAAGATTTATGGGAAACTCCAGCCATCTTTTCTGGGTGATGGCAGATTCAGAGGAGCATAGCCCATGCCCAACTGGGCGATAGAAAATCAAGGTAATGAGTGCAAAGGGAAGTGGGAAGTGGGCTTAAGAAACCAGATGGAGGAATTCCCTGGCGATCCAGTGGTTAGGACTCTGCGCTCTCACTGCTGAGGGCCCAGGTTCAGTCCCTGGTGGGAGAACTAAGGTCCCACAAGCCGTGGCGCAGTCAAAAAAAAAGGGAGAAAGAAAGAAACCGGACGGAGTGTTTAAAGAAACCAGGCCACACAGCTCCAGGGCCAAGGTGAGAAGTCAGAACATCTAACACATCCAAGCTGGAAGGTGCTCGGTGGAGCCCACCTCGTCCAAGCAAGCCCGGTAGAGATGGGGACATGGATGCCCAGGCCACCCAGGCCGCACAGGCCGGCATTCCCCTCACTCCACCTGCTGCTCTGAGGCATCACTTGAGTTATGTTCCTAATAAATTAAAGGCCTTCAACCCGCTTACATCCCCTCTCTGCTTCTCTGTGTGCGATGCGAGTTCATCTAAATCAGGGGTTAAGCCAGGACACAGATGTGCTAACTCCTTGCACCTGTCACAATTATGTGCACGGATATCCAAAGGCATCTGTATAGGGGTGAGTCCATAGCTTTTCCAAAATCCCCAAAGTCATCCAAGATCCCCGAAAGACAGACGTCCTACCGTCTGTGTTGATATGAAACCAGGCCAGGGCTTCAAGAAGGCAACTTGTGGCTCCAAGACAGTGGCTCTGAACCAGGAGTGGTTATCCGCCATGTTTGAGCCATTTTGATTGTCGCGACTGGGTGCCTGCTACTGGCGTGAGGCAGGTAGAGGCCAGGGATGCTGCTAAACATCCTACAATGCTCATGGCAGCCCCACAACTAAGAACTGTCCGGCCCTAAGCGTCGGTAGTGCCGAGGCTGAGAAACCGTGCTCTGAGCTATAAATGTGGGGCTCACCCGGGAAATGGGATAAGAAAAACCCGCCCTCTGAAGAGGCTTGCTGCACCCCAGGCAGGCGGGCGGAAGCACCGCCGGGGGAGGGCTGTTTTGTCGGCAAGGTGGGTCCGCACTAGCGCCTGGACACTGTCCGTGCCTGGACCCGCGCTCTGCGGCCGTGAGCGCCTCAGTCAGCATCCGGAGTGACAGCTCAGCACAGGGGTGGGGACCAGGGGGCTCTGTGCTCAGTCACATGAGACCTGATCAGAGAAGAGAGCTGGCCCCCCAGGTCAGGCAGAGCAAACGGAGTGAAAAGCCATTCCCAGACCCGGAGAGCGCAAAGCAGCAGCACGGCGATGCCACACTTACCTTCAGAAAGCTCTGTCACCACCTTCCCCTCATCCTCGTCTGAGGGAAGATGGGAAGAGAGGTGAGGAGGAGAGAGAGGCAGGTGATGAAGAGGCGAGGAAGAGCAAAAAGGAGAGAGAGAGATGGATTAACAGGGGTTATTTCTTGAGAGAGAGACTCTGCTGAGAAAAGGGAGGTGGGAAAGCAGGGGTGAGACGGGAGCAGAGACGGACTCTCCAGAAGAGCTGCAGGGTGAGGGGTGCGGTCCACCCAGACGGGGCCCCGGGGCTCCAGGGTGGCGAGGCACTCAGGGCGCACCGCTGAGAGAGGGCTTCGCTCTTGGGAACAGCAGGCCCGGTGTCCTTGTCACAGCTCCCGCGCCTCAAAGAAGAGTGTGCTGGCCTGGTGACAGGCAGCCCCTCACCCAGTGCCCTGGTGTCCCTGGCCATGCAGACACATCCTGAGAGGGAGGCTGTGCCCTGCTGTGTCTGCGTAGGTCACACCTGCACGCCACTGCCCGCCTACCTGGCCGGATCAGTCTTTTGGGGACTAAGGAAAAGAAGCAAAGCTGTCCCCAGAGTCCCAGCCCAGCCCCCAAACCAGAGTCTAGGGAGCAAGTTTCTGGGCTCAGCCTGTTGGAAACGGCCACTGAGGGCCCAGGGTCCCCACTTGCCCCTTCCCCACAGGGAGGAGAGAGGAGCCGGAAAGTGTGACGAGGTGTGAGCCGGGGGTGTGTGCGGGTACACGGGCGCCTGGGCGCTGGGGGTGGAAGCCAGGCTTCAGGCAGAGACCTAACCGACTCCAGGGAAACAGGGCAGGTCTCCAAACCCCCATGTCAGAGGATGCTGGGAGCGGCACTGACCCCACCAGGCAATGGCAGGAAGGCTACAGAGGGATCCATCCCCCTCAAACCCCACACAGAGAGCCCCACCGAGGCCTGATCTCATCACAGACACAGAGCTAGGCTGCCACCTTGTTTCCAGAAGGGTCCTGAGAGCCCACCACCTCTGGGCCTTGCCCAGGACCACAGGGGTCCTCCAACCCCCCACTCCTCCCTCCAGCCTCCCCGACCACCTCCCTTCCCACTGGAACCACTCACCGCCGGTGGGGTGCAGCAGGATGCTGGCTGGGTTATGGGGCTTCAGGCCCAGAGCAGACAGAGGTGTCTTGGCCAGACCTGGAGGGGAGCGCACTGCGCCGAGAAGAAGAGGCGAGACCCCAGGAGTGAGCGCGGGTGACGGGCTGGGGAGAGGACCCCTCCTGGGTCTGGGCGGGTTGGGGAGGGTGGGCAGCCGAAGGCTGAGCGGACGAACCAGCCCCAGCCCCGGGGATGCTGCTGCGGCTCCACTGCACTCTCCTGTCTCTGTGTTTCTCCACAGTGTAAAGGCTAAAGGAAGTCAGCAAATGGCCCTGCCCCTCAACCTCCAGAAAGTAATTTCTATCCCTAGGCCCTGAGTTCCTTTGCTACGGTCCCTCCGCATGGCCGTGGTTTATAACATACACGTTGGTTTCTCGGGTGCCCTCTGCCTTTCTCTGTTATTCTCTCTCTAATCCCCTTCTCTCACTTTCCCTA